CACCTGAGCTACCAGGGAAGCCCAACCTAGGCTTAACCTGAGGGCTATTTCATTTTGACCTGTTTGTAAGTGCAAGATCCCAAAGTCTTCAGTGAAACAGGCATCACCTGGGAAAGCCCTTCAGTGTGGGTAATGTTGGTGGGATGGCATCAGGGGGCCCCAGCTCTGAGGTGTGATCTCCTGAGGCTAGAAACTCATAGTAACATTAATAGGCAGTTTGGCAGAAGACTTACCGGCATCTCCAGGAAATTTGGAAATATGTGGCCGCTTTGTAGATGGGTGATTTGAAAGCACAGGAGCAAATGTAGAAGTTACTTCGGTTTACGCAGGCACTTATTTTTTTCAACAGTCAGATTTCTTAAGGTTGTTTTTTAAAATTTCCCCAGTGGGGTCCAACGGAAGGACCAGGGACACGAACCTCCTCCCATAGGAGAGTTTGTCCTTTTGCTTTGGGGGCTTTTTGCAGGTACATGCCAAGGCTTCTAAGTTTTTGCTCCAAGGTCCTTCATGGGGTTTTACAGCTGCTCCTGCACTGGAGGCCCCCCACTGAAGAAGGCGGAAGGGGCTGTGTCTTCCCTCTTGCTCCCACCTGTGTGTGCTCCCACCTCCAGGGAAGCTGGATTTTCCGGGCTTTTTTGTTTGATCCTTGAGGACCTGACAGCCAGCAAGAGAAAACTGTAATTGGGGTCACCTCTTGTGTGCTGGTTCCAAATGTCACACAATCTGGGTGCCAAAATGGTTTCACATGACTCACGTGTCATGGAAACAAACCCCCCCACCACCCAAAAAAGTCAGTTAAACTCTGGGACAGGCTATAGAACACAGGAGAAGATATTAAAAACTGTTTTTTAAAGAGGTAGGGAAGGGCAGCATAGAGGGAAGACTGGTAGACAGAGGCCTGAGGCAGAGACCAAGGTGCAGCAAAGAGGGAGAGCCACAAGGGGCACTGAACAGAGCCCTTCATGGTGTGCTAGGGACAGTGAGCACGAGGGAGGACATGGTGTCTGCTAAATTCTAAATCCACTGATGACGGTGGAGGTTCGCCCGGGACTAAGCCCATGGAAGTTCTGCAGTTCTCATTCTAGAGTTCTCATTCTAGGGAATTTGCCTGAGTTTTCCTTTTCTCTCTCCAGGAAGCCCAGGGCACTTCCATGCAAATGGAACAAAAGAAGGAATTTCCAGCACTCAACACAAGGTGGCGCCAGACACCCGTGGACGTGATGAGGTCCCCACTCCAGGTGGGCTCAGAAGCTGGTCCCTAAAGGGACCCAGATTCCAAGGAAACTGAGAACTCTGAGCACCCACAGGATGTTAGCCAAAGGAAAAAACAGGGCACACAGAAAAATAAGAAAAATTATCTAAGAGATGGGGAAGGGTAGCACAGAAGCTAGACGGAGTCTACAGTTTGTAAAAGGAACTTTAAAAGTTTTGCCGGGGAATCCCTGGAAAGACAGGAGATAGGCAAGTGCAGAGAGGCAGGAAGGGGAAGCTGTTGCAGGCATTCAGCAGGTCATGGCCTGGGCCAGGGAAGGGTGGTGGAGAAGAACGCCTTCTGACTGATGTAGCTACATTTACCAGTTTACATTTACAGATATGCTTCTTAGATACAGGGAGTCAGCAAGCCCAACAGGATTCAATAACACAACTCAGTAGAAATACATTTTATTCATCTTCTTTGAGAATTCATTGTATTAACATTTGCTCTTTTCATGTACAGTTATGGACCCATGACTTTGCAAATGTGTTGTGCCCATTGATATCACCCAGTAGTCTCCTTTTGATGTTCACATTGTCCCAACTTTGGCTGAGGCAAATTTACCTCTTTTAGATTGATTCCTTGCATAATTTTGAATGAGCCAATTATTTAAAGCTTTTTGCTTCTGGCCCAACAAGGTGTAAGTGTCCTGGCATTATTACCTTGCTCACTTCTACCCCAAACCAGGTATGGAGTCAGACATTGCTACAAGAAACCCTGGCTCCTTTTGAGAGAAAAATAGCGAAAAAAAAAAAAAAAAAGGCAAAATATGGGGTACATTGCAACTAGGCCACTTCGGTGGCAAAAAGCCCAAAAGGAAATATACTTCTAATGTAATGTTTTATAAAGGCATGACTTCATATTGATATATTCAATTCAGTTCCAGTAGTACACTGCTCCTACTCAAATAATTGAGTGTACCATTGACCTTCCCTTTCACTAATCCTGAAATCTAGTTTCCTATCCAAATAAACATAATCATTTACTTGCTGTGACAACTGAAGAGAATAGCTAAAAACAAACAAACAAAAAAAAGACTGTCAGTACAAACAGTAGAAATATTGAGTGAAGTTTCTGTTTTAGGCTACACACTCCTAAGGACTTGTTGCCAAACCGTTTGCTCTAGAGTCACACTTAACCTGAGCTTTCCCAGTGGCTCAGCAGTAAAGATTCCACCCACAATGTGGGAAATATGGGTTCTAATTCCTGGGTTAGAAAGATCCCTTGGAGGAAGACGTGGCAACCCATTCCAGTATTCTTGCCTGGAGAATCCCATGGACAAAGGAGCCTGGGGGGCTACAGTCCATAGGATCCTGCACTTCAGGACATGACTGACGTGAGTTAGCACACACACACGCTTAGGCCCCCACACTACGGAAGGACTTAACTAGCATTGTGGTTCTGCTGTTTCCATTTATTTTCACTCAGAAAAAGCTGCAATCTGCCCTCATCCCATCCCTCCATTTTCTGCTCCATCTTGTCATTTTCCCATAGGACTTACACACTCCCAATATTCTAGATAATTCACTTAATAATGACAAATACTGTTATTATTTTATTATTATTCCTCCCCCTGGCCCAACCATCCAAAGGTAAGCCTCATGGAACCAGGATTTTGTTCCTTGGCAGCATCTGAAGGCAGGATTAAGAAAAATGTGCTTGCTTCTGGGGTCAGGGGTGTCTGCTCGTTGAGCATCATCAAAGGCTGTGAGAGATGGTCAGTATTCCTGTTGTAGTTACTACTCACACCTCTCACTCATTGAAGAGTCCGGGTAATAGGGGTAAATCAATCAGAGGAGAGGCCAGGGAGTCAGAATACCAGGACTCAGGACAGATGGAATGGCCAGCTATGGGATAGGGCGCCCCTCTACTCAAGGACCAGCTTAATGTCTGGTGCATGGTCAGACTTCCATAAATGATTCTGGGGACATGGAAGGACAACAGGATAATTGAGGGAAATGTCTGGATACCTGTATAAGCCTGCGAGCTGGATGGGCAAGGGAACTAGCTGTGAGAGGGATGCAAGCAGAGGGAAGTCAGGGATCATTTCTGAGTTCTGGGTCTGGACAGGTGATAGGGCAACTGTAGCCTGAGGGTGCAGGGCAGGGGAGAAGAAGGAGCGGGTCATGACTGGTAGAGTAGTAGGTCTTTATTCCTGCAAACTAAAAATATGATTCCAGTTTGGCCAAAGTAAAATGAACATATACTCTTCATAAAAGACTCGAACAATGCAGAAACATACAAAACAGTAAAAAAAGCTATCTCCAGTGATCTCATCTTAGAGAGAGCCTCTCCTCTGGTCCCTTGAAACCCCTGCCCAGGTGGAGAGAGGGCTGGGGGCCTCTGGCTTATAGGGGAAACACCTGGCTGAAGCAGTTAAGACTGTCTCCACCTCAAGGCTGGGTGGAAGGGGCCCAGGAAGTGGGGGTGGAAACAAACCAGCTCAGAGGCTCCAGAGCTGGGAAAGGTGGGGTCTATGAAGGGAGACCCAGGCTTTGCCCAACAATCACTTCAGCCCTCAAGAGACTCCCCCTCCATCCCTTCTCTGACCCTGACTCTTCCTCACCTGGTGGGCGAGAGGGTCAGGAAGAGACTTCAGTCATGGGTCCAGGATGAACATGCTGAGAGAATTAAGGACGCTCTGAGGGGCTATCTTAAAGAAGTTCCCCAAGGGATTTCCTATAGTGTGAGGCCCCCAGGAATACCCAGGAGCACCTTGCCTCAAGTAGAGCACCCATGCAGCCAGACGCTGTCCCCTACCTGGGCTTACCCCCAACATCTTAACCAAGGGTGGCCTTCATGCAGCCTGGACTCAAGGTTGATGATGTAACTCTAACCCTAAAGACTACTGTTTTGGAGGAAACCAAAATGATTACCCAAGGTGACCTCTTTTTATTTTTCATGCTGTACTGTAACAACTCCACAGGAAAAAGGAATACAGAAAACATTACACTTGTGATCGACAGCCTTCTGCAGTCTCATCTCATCATGCACACTCATTTCAGCTGCTGTCCTCAGTGTACACACCCTCTTCACCCAGCACTGCATTTCACAGGTCAGCAGCATCCATGCGCAGCCCATTTTCAGTGGGGCTGTAGTCTCCCTCTAGGCCACAGATCTTATTGCTGGCTGAGCCATTCAGTCACCTCTGCACAGGCGGGCTACAGTCCGTAGAGTCACAGAGTCAGACACAACTGAAGTGACTTAGCCCACATGCATGCACCGGCATTTGGCTTGAAGTGAAATCAACCTCGTTATACCCAGCCTTCCTTATGTCTTCAGAGTTTCCTCCAGGAAAGTGGCCATTGCTTGTGTAATCTCTGGTCATCCCTGTTACACATGAACCTGCTGCTCTTCAGAAAAGCAGAACCAATCACAATGTACAATGTTGCCAGTTTCCCAACAGCTCTGCAAGTTGCAGAGAGATAATATGGATATATATACACATATGGTTTAATGGTCAAGTAGTTAACCATTGTACAGATGAGAAAACTGAGGGGCAGAGAGACTGTCATTTTCCTCCAGAGTCATCCTATTAGTAGATGGCAGAGATCCAGTATTGGAGGTCACATCCCCTGACCCCCTCTTAGCACTCCATCAGCCCTACCACCCTGCCTCTGACAGTTGCTTCTAGACGTGGACATAGCAGGCTCTTCTCTTGTCTTTTGTCCTTGAAGGAAAACAAGCGTGGCCTTTCCCCTCGTGGCTTTTGTGTCCTGCAGCCCAGATTTCTCAGCTTCATCTGCTAGATCCAGGCCTTGAGCAGCTCCTCAGAAGACAGCCCTGAAGTCACACAGGCTTCTACCTCTTCTTTTCTGCAGCTGATTAACTTCTGGGGTGAATTTGTTATTTTCTGAAAGACAATTTTCATTCATAATCATTAGGTTAATATTCATAGTCAGAGTTGAAGAGAATATCACCAAAAATCCCAACTATTTCACTCATTAACTTTCTAGCAACAAAAAAGCCTGAAGAGACGTCTCTAGTGGTCTAGTAGTTAAGAATCTGCCTTCCAATGCGGGGGACACAGGTTCAGTCCCTGATCAGGGAAGTAAGATTTCATGTGCCTCGGAGCTACTAAACCTATGCTTCTCAACTACTGAACCCACACATTCTGGAATGAGCCACAGTTAGTAAATCTCTGAGGCACAGCAGATTTCCCACGTACTGCAACCAAGACCCAATGCAGCCATATAAATAAACTTTAAAAAAGTCCCAAAGACAATTCTAACCCCTAGAGCATGGGCTTGCCATTTTACTGAGATCATCACCCACATCACTGACCAGCGGATCTCTTGGGTTCTGCCTCCTCAGGGACCCTGCCCCACAAAAGCCCAGCATGTGGTGCTGGTTCCAAAACTCTAGCCTTCTTCCACCAGAGAGATCTGAGAATAGTGACCTGGTCCAAGGTGCTCTACAAACAGTACTAGCAGGGTGTCCGCTCCAGGGATGGTGCTCCATAAACAGAAGTCCCTTCCTACTCATATTTCACTTTCTTGCCATCTTCTCCCAGTGACCCCAATACATCATCATAACTGATGGTAAAAATGCAGGTATCTCCCTTTCAGGGTAACTCTCGCCACTATTGCTAACTCAGTTGCTTCCACCAGACTCACTTGACTCTTAAACAGCTTCTCCTGAAGCCCTGCCCATCATTACCATCATTACTCTGAAGAGTGGCACATGGGCACAGACAGGTGGGCACCATGGTTTACTCCACCCCAGCGCCCAGGAGACAATAGATTTAAGTCAGTTGCTCTGGATCTTGTTTGTAAAGAAGTGGCTTCAGGGCTCACTCCTGCGTCCACAGGCAAATAATGGGCAAGGACAGTGTACAAGCAGGTCTCACCAAACAGCATATCAGCGTGGAGGCTGCCATCAATTCACACTGATGGTCCACTCATTCTCAGGACGCTGGCCACCTACATCTGCAGTGCTTATACCTGATTGTTTCTTAAACTCTAGAGCAGTGCTGTCCAACAGAAATGTACTGGGAACTACATGTGCAATTAAAAATCCTCTAGTAGCACATTTTATAAACTAAAAAGAAATAGGTAAAATTAATTGTAATAATATACTTTTTTTAACGTTATTTCAATATATAATCAGTATAAAATATTGATATAAATTAAATAAATATTGATATAAAATAAACTTTTTACACTCTCCTTGTATTGCCTTAAAAATCTATTGTATATTTTATAGTTACAGAATATCTCAATTTGGACCAGTCACATTTCAAGTGCTTAATAAATCACATGCACAAAAAATAAATAAATAAATAAATCACATACGCTAGCAGCTACTGTTTTGGATGGTGTAGTTCTAGAATGTTAAAGTGAAACAGCATAATCTCAGAATTTCAGAAGGTACAAAATTGTCATCCTATAGGTTAGAACAAACTTTCAAGCAAGGTTTAGCTAATATATATATTAGCTTGAATTATATATATAAATACATATATACATATATAAATATATAAAGTTGAATTATCCCTTAACATTCAAAAATCAGGAGATTTATTATAAAGTCTGGATTTCTGGTTTCTCATTTCAAACATGGAGCCCAGGGACCACCAGCTCATATCCCGTCTTGGTAGCAACCTCCTAGAACCGAGAAGCAGATGATTTCTTTAGCTGGGGCATGTGAGCCTTGGTCCCCATATCCATCTCTCCCTCTTAAGTCACATTTATTGTACTATACATTCTTTTTTTGTCTGGGCCCTTTTTTTCTTCTGTACCTGTCTGGGCCCCCGAGGCATCTGAGTTCACAAACTTCACTTTCTTTTTTTGTTTTTAACTTTTTATTTTGTACTGGGGTATAGTCGATTATTATTCATGCCTGGAGAATCCCATGGACACAGGAGCCTGGTGGGCTACAGGGTCACAAAGAGTCAGATGTGACTGAAGTGACTTAGCACAGCACATAGCCAGTTAACAATGTTGTGATAGCTTCTGGTGGACAACAAAGGAACTCAGCCATACATATACATTTATCCATTTTCCCCCAAACCCCGCTCCTATTCAGGCTGCTACATAACATTGAGTGGAGTTCCATGTGCTACACAGTAGATCCTTGTCAGTTATCCATTTTAAATACAGCAGTGTGTACCTGTCCATCCCAAACTCCCTAAGCATCACATCCCCCTGGCAACCGTAAGTTCGTTCTCTAAGTCTCTGAGTCTATTTCTGTTCACAAACTCCACTTTCTATGAAGCACACAAAGTCAGACTTGAGATAGTCCATTGAAGCATATCTCAATTTGGAAATGACTAACTTGGGGCCATCTTGATGTTTGCTGCCCACATTACAGTGGAATGTGACAGCAAGAAGAGAAAGAATAAAGTGAGTCACAGAAGGAAAGTAAGACCTTTAGCACCAAAGCTTCCATCTCCATGAAGCAATTATGGATAAAAGACAAGGAAAACACATTATATTTTAAAATAGGGAACACACACCGAACAGTCTTAATATAATTCTCCTTGAATATATATTTTTGCTTTAGACTGTTCCTTAGTGATATAAACTTGAATGGAAAGACATTCTTAATGGTATATATCAGAGTGCAACCATCACCAACTGTAAAATTACAGATGTAGACATGAAATGTTTAATCCAAACAGATAAAACACTTACAAGCTCAATAGGACTTTTTGAAGCTTGTCAAGGATTTCCACTTGGTAATTTTCCATGGTTTAATTGGAAAGATGCATGGATTTTGCAAGGTTGGCTAGAAGCTTCTTTTTAATAGTTTGGAGGATTATCCATGACTAAGGCCAATGCTGAAGTGCAGCTAGGCTGTGCTAAACTCAAGGCTGAGGATGGGGGTGATGGCAGTGGAGGTGTGCAGCTCCAGAACTTGTTTGGGGTTTGATGGACACTAGCGATCTATTTCTCACACAGCACTGCAGGAAATGCATATACTCAAAGAAACTGTTCACGTTAAAATCTGGGGGAAAACAGAATAGAAACTAAAAGCCTTATGGAAAGGAATGCATGTAGGAAGACATTGGAACAATGTAGGAAGGATGGTAAGGGGAACAGAGAAGCAAAGGGGGGTCAAGTATCATGGCATTTATCTTCCATGGACCAAAGTGGACATTCTCTCACAGAATCTCTTGTCTCTGGTCTCATCTCAGTTGCTTGGATTTTCGCAGAAGCTTGAGAGTCCCTTGGACTGAAAGGAGATCAAATCAGTCAATCCTAAAGGAAATCAACCCTGAATATTCACTGGAAGGACTGATGCTGAAGCTAAAGCTCCAATACTTTGGCCACCTGATGTGAAGAGCCAACTCATTGGAAAAGACCCTGATGCTGGGAAAGATTGAAGGCAGAAGGCCAGGGGGTGGCAGAGGATGAGACAGTTAGATAGTATTACTGACTCAATGGACAGGAATTTGAGCAAACTCCGGGAGATAGTGGAGGACAGAGGAGCCTGGTGTGCTGCAGTCCATGGGGTGGCAAAGAGTCAGAAACGACTTAGTGATTGAACAAGAAGAAGAACAGAATGCATTAGGATTCCTAGGAGCTCTTGTCATTTGAGGGCTTTCCTTGTGCTCCTGAAGTTCTGTACAGATGCAACATGGAGGACTGCTTTTGCATTTCCCCCCACCCCTGCAAAGTCCACAGGGCCTGCCCTCACCGGGAGACTCAGATCGATGGTCCAGGGTTCTCCTGGCTTGCAAGCTGTGGGGACCGCTCACCTTGGGTAGTCACTGGGCAGGTCCAGATAGTTCCCCTGCCCCAGCCAAAGGCAAAGCACTGTCCACATGCCCCACACTCACACATGTGTGCCTCACCCCAAGAACCCAGGATGCTCTTGGTGTATGATTGTATGAATTGACTCTGTTGTGTTGGAACATGTGTCTGGATGTAGCTGCTGTTATAATGATTGCAGGAGGCCAAGAAGACCCGGCAGGCCGGTCCTTAGCGTAAGACTTCGCATGATTCCTGGAACGCCGAGCTCCTGGGCTGGGCTACACACCTGCTGCCTTGGCTGTGCCAAGCCCTAGGGGCAAGCAGCAGAGGCCTGATGGGAGCCTGGGGGAGGCCACCCCCCACCCAGAAGAGCGGTCTCTCAGCCCCTCTGATTAGAAGGGAGGTCCTTCTCCCTTCTTGGTGCAAATGTTTGTAAACCCACGAAGCGGAGGTCCATGCCCCGCTCAGGCCCAGACAACATCTGGACAGCGCATCACACTAAAAGGAAGAACAGCAGTTACCAAGGTGTCAGGGAGCATCACCACGGGGCAGCAGGAGTGCCGGAGCAGCCGGCCCATCTTCCAGAGGGAGAGCAGCGCCACCACCAGGATCAGCACGAAGCCCACGAAGGCGAACAGGGCCAGCGCCAGAGGCAGGGCCTCTCCTGGAAACAGAAAGACAGGAACTGGCTTAGGAGACAGCCTTGAAGACCTGCTTGCTCGCCAGTTCTGGGCCTCCCTCGCCTTCCTGGGGTTGGCTCTGCAGATGGATCAAGAGAGCAGACTCTGGCACCCTGAGATCTGACATATGCCCCAGGGACAAGAGTGACCACCATTCAATTGTTCTTCTAGAATCCAGACTGGTTTCCAGAAAGCCAAGGACGATGACAGCCTTTTTCTTGGGAAGGAAAAGGGGCGAGCCTCGTGCATTAAGCACTAGCTGTGTTTGAATGCACCTCGGCACCACTGCCAGAAGGCAGGCAGAGAGCCAGGCCCCCAGGCAGGATGAGGGGGTGGTGCCCAAGAGCACAGCCCAGAAGGAAGCTGGGCGGTAACTGAAAACAAAGTGTGTTTCACAATTTTCTTTTGGCATTGATCCGTATTATGGAGGAAAATACTGAATTCAGTACACAGTCACATAATAACTCTGATGTATCAAGTTCTGGCACTGGTTAAGTGACTTACCCCAGGTCACGTAGGGAAGGCTGTGCTCCAAATGCTACTAAGAAAGTGCCAAGTCTGAGCATCTGGAGATGTGGAAGTGGGGGATGGGTTATTTTCCCATCTTTCTGTCCTATTCGTGTAGCCCCTCTGAGCTGGGCTGCTCACCCACAGTGTGAAGGGTAGCACAGCTGATGCAGCTGCAGAGGAGCTGGGAGGTCTCCTCAATGCTTTTGGAAACTATTTTGGCAGTACACATCAAGCGATGGGGCTTCCCAGGAGGCTCAGTGGTAAAGATTCTGCCTGCCAATGCAGGAGACATGGGTTCAATCCGTGGGTCAGGAAGATCCCCTGGAGAAGAAAATGGCAGCCCACTCCAGTATTCTTGCCTAGAAAACCCCATGAAAAGAGGAGCCTGGTGGGGTACAATCCACGGGGTTGCAAAAGAGTCAAACACGACTGAGTGAGCACAGAGCTCAAATACAAATACACAAATGTTCAGACTCTTTCATCTGCTCCTGTGAGTAGATTCCAAAGAAGACAAAACATACACATAAAGCAGTTCACAGCAACGTCTAGATTAGAGCCACAGCCTCGTAACCAGCTGTCCGCTGAGCCCAAAGCAGCACACCTGCACCTCCCTCCACCCCAGCATGCTCTGGTGTGTTCCCTCATAGCACGAACCACCAAGGGAAACCATCTCATTTGCTTACTTGTCTGTCTACTCAACTAGAAGGTAAGCTCAGTGAGGGCAGGGATTTGTCTGCTATATCCCAGTGTCAGTGCTCAGTAAATATTCACTGAATGAATGAATGAATCAGTGAAAATGAACATCATCTTCAAAAGCAGATGGAAATGGGTACTTCCAGGAGTAGTCCAGTGGTTAGGAATCCACCTGCCAATGCAGGGGACATGGGTTTGATCCCTGGTCTGGGAAGATCCTATGACACTGAACCATTAAGCCCATGTGTCACAACCACAGAGCCTGCTCTCTAAAGCCCATGAGCTGCAACTACGGAAGCCACCGTGCCCTGCAACAAGAGAAGCCACTGCAACGTGAAGCCTGAGCACTGCACGTAGAACATAGCTCCCGCCTGGCGCAACTGGAGAAATCCCACATGCAGCAAGGAAGACCCAGCAGACAAAACTAAATAATTTTTTTAAAAAAGCAGATGGAAATGACCTAAATATCCCCAAGTAGAGGATGATTTACTACATCATCAAATATCAGCATGTCAGGTCAGGAGGTCAGCTATTAAAATGAGAATTAGGATACATAATATACAGAAGCTTGTTCACTGCAGCATGCGTGGTAGTCACAAAACACTGGAAAGCGCAGAATATACCTAGTTACAGGGTGTTATTACATGTATTTTGACACATCCACACACTGGCTTGTTATGCATCTTTAAAAATGAGGTAGATCCATATGTACTGACATGAACAGGTGTTCACAATAGCAATACCAAGTGAAGGTGAGGGTGGTACAGAGCAGTAAGCACAGTACAGTCCCAACTGTGCTTGTGAGTTCTGGCCTCACACGATGATCGCAAAATTAACCACCACACTTGCCAAAGGAAACCTCCTCAATGGTGTGGGGAGAATGGAAAACTTGGATCAGGAGGATCCCCTGGAGGAGGAAATGGCAACCCACTCCAGGATTCTTGCCTGGAAAATTCCATGGACAGAGGAGCCTGGCGGGCTATAGTCCATGTGCTCACAAAAGAGTCAGACACAACTGAGCAACTGAGCTCACACACACATACACACACTTCTTACTCCACATACCTCTCTGTTGTTTGGATTTTTTTTAACAAGCTTGACCTACATGGTTTTAAAAAATAGTATAAAACGGTAATCAGAAAGTCTTCATGAAAAATGTTTTTGATATGATATTTTGTGAAAAAGCAGACACAAAACATATGTATAATACAACTGGAACATATGTCTACATGAAGGATAACACCCTTTTAGAGGATAATTTGGAAACAGCAGTCAAAATTCAAATGTGTATCCCTTCGACCCAGCAACTCTGCTGCCAGGAATTTATCCTTCACATACACCAGCAAATGATCTATGTACAAGGTAACTAATGAGAGCATTGGCTCTAATAGCAAAATATCAGGAAAAAACCTAAATACCTCTCAATACCGTGCGCGTGTGCTCAGCTGCTTATCATCTCCAGCTCTTTGTGACTCTATGGACTATAGTCTGGCAGGTTCCTCTTCATGGGATTCTCCAGGCAAGAATACTGGATTGGGCTGCCATGCCCTCCTCCAGGGGATCTTCCCAACCCAGGGATCAAATCCTTATCTCCTGTGTCTTCTGCCTTGCAGGCAGATTCTTTGCTGCAGAGCCACCGGGGAAGCCCACCCCTCAATAGAGGGGTAGTTAAATTAGTTACAGGTACACAACACACAATGGAATACTAGGTAGCTAGTAAAAGAAGGATAAAGAAATTCTTTTTTAGATATGGAAAAATCTAGAATATGTATTAAGTGAAAAAGATTTTATAGATCTGGAAGATATAAAAAGATCCAGAACAGTGCATGGAATATGCTACCATTTGTGCCAAAAAGAAGAAAAATATATAATAATTTATTTCCATTTACTTGTAAATGCATTGGGAAGTTTTCAGAAAGATATACAAAGAGCTAACCCCTATGGGGGAGTGGGTAGGAATGACATAGATGAGGAAGAGGAGGAGGAAGCCAATTCCAAATTCTTATCATATTTTTTGAAATATATATATACCAAATATTCAAAATTATATTTTAAAAACTAAAAAGCTATACGCAAATGTCACTGGTGGTGTCTGTATGACAGAATCACCGGATGTGGGGTTTCATTTTGTTTCTTTTCATTGTAGGTTTTTAGGCCACAAAAAATTTAAGGGAAAAAATTAAAGAAGAGGATTCTACAGACTTTCCATCAGGCCCCTCCCAGCTGACAGCGGCTGTGCTGCGCAGTGGGCACCCCCTCACAAGGTCTGACCTTCAGAGGCTCCAGCTGCCTCACCTGCACTGGCCCCTGATTCGCAGGCAGCGGCCACCTGGTCAATCAGCGTTGCAAAATCTGTCCTCAGGCCTCGGAAGCTGTCAGGGGAAAGTGTGCCAGACAGCTGCCAAGGGACCCCCACCCAGCCTGAGGGTGGACTTTCACCTCTGGGTTGGAGTGGGGCTTAGAACACAGCGCACTTTCTCCACCAGAACCCGTGCAGCCTGGGGGAGCAGGTCAGGGAAACCAAGGGCAGACTCAGAGCCAGAGGAAGCAGCAGGCGCCGTGCACACGCAGGAGGGGCAGACAGGCTGCCTTACCTTGCAGCTTGACACATTCTGGCTGGCTGAAGGCACTGTGCCGCCCAATGGCCTTCACGAACGTCCGGGCCTTCACACAGTATGCCACCCCGGGCTCCACCATCTCCAGGTACACGGGAAGGACCCCGGGCCTCACCACTTTGACATGTTCCTTTAGGAAACCAAAAAACAGTCACACCTTGAGCGAAGCGGGACAGGAAAAGGAGAGGAGGAGGGAAGGAACGCTGTCAATATTTCCTTTCTGCATACAGAATGTTCCTCTCATTCTTTCATTTGTTCATTCATTCATTTTTTAAAAATTGCTCATTTATTTAGCACCTACTGTGTGCCAGGCACAGTTGTAGACACTGAACAAAACAGGGACACACAGCACTGAACAAAACAAAAAGTTCCTGCCCTCGTGGAGCTTATGTCATACATGAGGAAACCGGACCATTGATAACACACATCAGGTGGTGATGAGGGTTACGAGGAATCATGGAGTAGTGATGAGGAGGCACCAGCAGAGTGGCTCGGGGAGGCCTCTCTGATACGCTCATACTTGGACAGAAAGCTGACTGGGTGCTTGGCCCGGCCACGACTTCCAGAGGGTCAGTGAAGATCCTGCACTGCAGCCAGTGGGCAGTGCCTCCTCACGCATCCACCCATCCACTGTCTGTCCGTCCATCTGCACAGCCCTCCACCCCTGCCACCCCCTGAGGCCTGCGGAGGCTTGTCTGGGCCAAGCCCAGGTGACTCAGGGCAGGCACTCCTCTCCCAAAGCACCTGAGGAACCTGCCTTTTCCCTGCAGCTCAGGCCCTGATCTGCTCCCACACAACTGCATCCGCCCAGCTTGCAGCACCAGGCCCTACCACTGGGCCCTGACCCAGCAGAAGTAAATACTAGAAACCACGGCCACTCCCTTCCCAGGGGAGTGTGGTGGGGCACATGTCCTGGCATTAGGTCAGGGGTACCCTTGGATGGAGAAGGGTCTATCAAAGGCCAGCCAGCATCTGGCAACCCCTACGCTTGAGCTGATAAAGTCAGCAGGACCAGTCAGATTTCTTGTCCTGGGAACTGGTATTGAGGAACTGAATACTTGCAGCCAGAAGCAGGGACCAAGGGGAAAGGACATGGTGAGGGGAGTCAGTCACAACCACAGGTACTCACAGGAAGGAGTGATGAGGGGTCAGGGCAAGCTGGGGCGAGGGCCATGGGCAGAGCGCATAGAGAGGATCCCCCAAGGGGAAGCTAGGGCCCCCCAGGCAGACAGGGGCCTCTGGGTGAGTGAGGCTGTGCAGCAGCCTGGCTCTGGGCCTGCTCCAATCACGGATTCTGTGAGAGCCCCCGACAGCACCATGTTAATCCTTGTGACAGGGCTTCCCTGGTGACTCAGTGGCAAAGAATCCTCCTGCCAACGCAGGAAACGCAAGTTCGATCCCTGGGTCAGGAAGATCCCCAGGAGAAGGAAATGACAACCCACTCCAGTATTCTTGCCTGGAAAATCCCATGGACAGAGGAACCTGACCTGATGGGCTATATTCCATGGCGTCTCAAAGAGTCAGACACAACTGAGTGACTAAACAATAACAATCCTTGTGACAGAGCCTACTTTTCCTTGCGCTGATTTGAGTGGGTTTTATCACCATTTCAGCTTGGACAGGGCTCCACAGGTGCACCCACACTCCATGCCTTCTGCTGCTGCAGCTCAGCCACTCCCTCTGAGAGAGCTGACCTCCCACCCAGCCTGGCCCGCAGCACCCACCCCACAGGGACGGGCCGCGCCCCATCTAGGCATTCTGAGTGGCCCATTGGCTCATAATTAGGGTTGTTTATAAGCTAGCTCCTGGCTCTCTGCCCCTAATTCTGCACCCAGCCCAGATGCACACCCTCAAGAAGCTGGGACCAGCCTCATATACTTATAAAATCACCCAATTGATTTGGAACAGCCCTGTCTGCTGCCCCCTAAACAGCGGGAAGAATGGCTGAGAAGACATGCGGATGGGGGAGAAATGCATTGCACAGGTATTGTGGATCCAACTGTGACAGAGTTTAAGGCAAGGAGGTGGCTCCCCTACTTCAGCGAATGTGTCCTGAGACGGCTCCCAGCCAAAGTCTGGGTTGGAAAAAGGCAGTCCTTTGAGTTTGACGCTGCCAGCATTGTCAGCCTATACCCATCTCCGTGTTCCCTCATTTCACCCAGGCCTGCTCATCCTCTGGCCACCCCAGACAGTGGGCACTGCAGGAGCTGGCCTTCCTCATCCAGTTCTCAGAGCTCCTCCAAAGTCTAACTCAAAGGCCCAGGCTGCAAGTCTCACCTTGGCACCAGGCTCCCTTCTCCAGTAGGACACGAAGAACTCAAAATGGGGCCCCAGGTCTTCCAGCTTAATAAGCAGGTGGAAGCCGTCCATGGTGATCTCCATCCTAGGTGGGGTGAGAATAGCTGTTGGCAAGACAAGGGGAGAGTCAAAGCCAGTCCCAGACAGGACTGATTTCTGTCCAGGGAGACCATGACCAAACCATCAGTGGAAACACACCAGGCTCATGGGAGGGGAGGGGTTTTGATGTGGCTTCATAGCATGCAGAAGCAAGCACTGTACTCCGCAGGTGCTCAGTAAACTCTTTGTGAATGATGAGCAAATGAAAAAAACAAACAACCATTTAGTACAATTCACATAGATATATACCGTCTGCTTCTAACTTTCAAACATCAGCAGATTAGCAGCCTGTGGATGGGTTGGCCTTTCTATTCCCAGTCCAAGAAGTCTTCACCTCATAGCTTTATGGGAGATGTTGGAAAGTCAGAGGGTTTTACAAATTCTAAGAATCAGGTCTAGTAATTACAGCCTAAGCACAAACACCATCTTTCATGTTATTGGATCCAAAACAGAGAGACCTGCAGACCCCATGGATACTTTCCACTTAGCAGGCCAGGAACCAAAGGGCCCACACAGACAGTCTTCAGTCCCTGCCTACTGATGATGGATCCAGAGCTTCCTCTCAGATCCAGACATTGCCAGACCAGAAGGGCCACCCCAATTGTGGGCTGTGGCTTGGGAGTGTGTTCTGGCTAAATCCTCCTGCACTGGGGTCAGTGGACACTCAACAGAAAGGCAGTTCCTGCAGGGAGTTTTGAGAGAACAAAGTATTTCCTGGCATCTAAAGAGCTGCCTGGAAAGGGGACAGGAGGACTTGGGAAGTCAGGGGCCAACTGTGCAAAACATACCCGGATCAGAGGATTCATATGAGCACACAGCACTGCTAGAACTGCCTGTGAAACACCTCCAGTAAGAAAGGAGATGGTTGACTCCTCCACTTTTAAGTTAAACATGATTAGAATTGGATCCCCTGATCTCCCTCTACGTGGAGAATAGAATTAGACAAAATGACCGCGTGTCATTTCAGTTCAGATGATTTTTTGACAATGTTGGGGCCGAAACCTCTCTCCTATGTACTCTACGTACTCATTTCATTTAATCCAACCAGGAAGCTTCAGAAAGTAAATACTGCTCCTATTTACAGATGACATAGCAGAGCCTCAGAGAGGTTAAGTGACATTCCCAGAGTCATCCAGTGAATGGCCAGACTTTGAGCTCATGTCTTTCCACGTTTCTAGACTCTGCTCTGTGGGGTGTTTTTTAACTCCCAAGGAACAGGATGCACTTAGATCACTTAAATCATACTCTAGGGATGGGTCCCAGAGATCAGGGGTTCTAAAACTCTTCTGTGACTTGAATTTGCATTGAGGTTAAGAACCTCTGCTCTCAACAGGGTTCCCTTTAAGAACTGGGGATCCAAAAAAAAAGAACTGGGGATCCTTTCCAAGACAGCCTTAACACCAGATTTTTCATTTCTGAGGAGAAGTCGGGGTGGGGTTTTTCAAAGGCCAAAAAGCAGACGTCATGCCCTGAGGAGTCTCAATTTCCTCCCAGCTCTGCAGCTGGGTCCACCTGCATGAGGACCCTCATCCTCTGCTTCTGGGGCAGGTACAGAGACACCTTTCCTCAGCTCCTCGGCAGCGAGCCCTTTTCCTGTTTATACTGGCCTTCTCAAGAACAAGTTGCTACTGCACACACCCACCCCCAGAGCTGTGTAGACACTTCCTTATCTCCAAATGCCCCGTGCCTGCATTTCCAACAACAGCTGCCAGCCTCCAGCAATGATCTTGGCTGGAAGCCTGTGCTTCCAAGAGCCAGAGGGGGGTGGTGCTGGTGCTGCCTAGGCACTGTGGGTGGAGATAGAGCTGCAACAACTTCCGGTGCCCCTTCGGCTCCCCCAGGGCCTGGCACTGGGATCCCACTGCTTCCACCATGTCCTGCCAGTACCATGGGAGAGAGGGCAGGCAGCAGAGCCCACATCCTGCACCAAAATTCCTACTGGTATCCATTCCAGAAGGACTTTCCTGTAGCTCAAATGGTAAAGAATCTGCCTGTGATGCAGGAGACCAGGGTTCGATCCCTGGGTCGGGAAGATCCTCTGGAGAAGGGAATGGCAATCCTCTCCAGTATTCTTGCCTGGAGAATTCTGTGGACAGAGAAGACTGGTGGGCTACAGTTCGTGGGGTTACAAAGAGTCGGACACGAATGAGCAACTAACACACAAACACATCCATCCCAATGGTCCCACTCCCGCTCCCTAGCTCTTCCTTTCTTCCTCTGCTCACTGGCTCTCAACTCTGGGCATATCCCTAGGGTAATAATATTAATACAAATAGCTGAGTGCTATTACAAGGCAGCACTGCCCCCAAGCATTTGCATTTTTCATCTCACCCCCAACCACCCATTGAAACAAGCCTCTCTCACTCAAGCGGCTGAGCCAGGATTTGAACCCTGTCTGTCTGACTCTGGAGGACCAAGTTCTCTCTCAGATCTACCTTCACTTTCCTCGACCTCCTCCAGCAGGGGCTCCCTCACCTTCTAACCCTCCTGGTTTCTCCCAACCCCCACACTCCTCAGGAAGCTCTGACTCATTCCATTAATTTAGAGGCTGCCCCGACTGCCCTGTGTCTTCATTCCCAGCAGAGGGTCACCTGTCACACAGAGAATACAGGTCCCCGAAGACCTTTCATTTGCCTTTCCTGTGTGTTCCAGGGGGTCACATCATCGCCCACAGCTGTCTTTCCACCTCTACTCAATCCCCCAGTGGGCAGCCTGCCCAACATCCCGCCTCCTCCTGCTCCATGAAACCACTTTCAAGAGGACCAAGTTGGGGCCCTCCCTCAGGCCAGGCAGCAGCTCGTCTGTTCTCCCCTCTGACTGTCTCCCTCTCCAGCACTACTGGTGCCCTCCCCTCCATTCTCTTTAAACCCTAGGTTTCCCAGAATCCTAGCCTGGTTCTATTTGTCCTCATATCTTGTCCCTGGACACCCTCACCTGCTCTCAAGCCATTAGCTATTAATTTCATTTTGTGTGTCTGTGACCTGTCTGAGTCCCAGGGCCTGATTCCCAACTGCCAATCAGACATCCATGGGATGATGTCTGATAGGAATCTCAACCTCAAAGAGCCCAAAGCCAGCAGCATCTCTTATTCCTCAGACCAGTCACTCCTGCTGGGTTCTCTTCCTTCAATGGCATTCCTACTAAACCCATCTGGAAGCTGGGTGCCATCATCATCTCCCCCAACTCTGTCTCACGGGAACTGGCCACCAAGCTCTGTCCTTTCTAACTCAACCAAGTCTCTAGAATTTGTCCTCTTCTTCCCATCTCTCCCCTTCCTCTAGGATCACGATCCAACTTGGTTCAGCTGGGATGTTACAGCCCTCTCTTCACTCTTCCCATGGCCTGCAGGTCTGTCCTACTTCAGTTCACTTTCCACACCACAGCCAGAGCGATTGTTCTGTAGACAGACCTGGCCCAGATCCCCTCCTCTTGCATGACTCTCCTCTACTGATCTGATGAGACTTCATGTTGAAGCCGTTCACCATGTGACCAGCTGCTTCCTCGCCCCCAGCCATCCTGACCCTGCTCCTGCTCTTTCCCTTCACACCCTTCTACACACTGGGCATTGTTTGCACTCTACCATTTTGGTCACCAAGCCAGATTCTTCCCTTACGTTTTTCTCAATACATTTGCCAGGTTCCATTGCTATAGAAAAGTTATTTATTTTCAAAGGGCTGTTTTTGGTCACTCTGATCATGTAGAGACCTTATTGCCAAAGAAGATACTCACACAGGCAACAAAGATGGGGACAGTGAGGCCTCAGGTGGGAGGCGGAGTGTTAAGAGTTAATGATGTATGATCACGCTAGGAAGAGGCCGTCCTAGCGCTTCTACCCACTTCCAGAGCACTTTTCCTTCCAGAGAGAGCCAGGAATGACTTCCGAAGTCTCATTTCAAAATGAGAGAGAGGAAGCAGCTGGCAATGTTTTCAACAGACCAGTTAGGGTTGTTTATGTTTGCAGCATTCTGACTTTGTAAGACTCATTTGATGCTGAAAAGAATCCCAACAGTCTCAGTGAGCACTGCTGCTGAAGCAGAGGCTGCTGTGGGCGGGGGAGTAAGGAGAGAAGGGCCTTACTTGAGTTTTGGTTAAAGCGGTGCTTCAGGGTGCTCCAGGCCGAGGTCAGTGAGCCCAGGGTGGCCCTGACCCGGAGGCTGTATGACACAGTGGCGGTGATGTCCTCCGTGATGTCACACTCAGGCCTTTGGGTGGGTGAGCACCAGCTGCTGGGGATCCAGATGTGGCTCATGTACAGGCTCTCATACTCCCTGGCCAAAGAGAGGAGGGGACAGCGTCACACCAGGCCCTTCCACCCAGGCTCAATGATGGTTTCAAGTAACCATCTCCTCCGCTAACTTTTTATGGGCCAGGAAAACAAGCATTTGCTCTACGCTCCATTCCTCCCCTCTCCTCCGTCACCACCCAGCCTTTCTTCCTGACTCCTTCTCCAAAGACAAGGGAGAACCAGGCATCAACCCCGCTCTGTCCTGGTCTCTCCATCTGCACGGTCACCACCCTAGTCTCAGCTACTGTCACCCCTTGCCTTGCTGTGTCTCCAGGCAGACTTTCCTACTTCCCTCCCTGCCAGTCTTCTAACCCTCTGTCACTCAGCTGAGCGTTTCTCTCCTTAGGGACCCCCACAGAGCCTAGAATGGAATGCACACTCTCCCGACAAGACTCTCTGGCCTTCTGCCTCCGCCCCTAAAGGCGATGCTCCCTCCACACAGCCCTCCTCACCATTCCTCCAACTTAGCAAGTGTTTGCTGTGTCTCAGTGCCCTGCCCCCGCATTCACACTGGTTGCCTGCTCCTGTCCTTCAGATATGGGCTTAAATATCACATCCTCAGACGGACCTTCCCTAACCATCAGATAAAAAGCTGCCACATCGCCAACTCGCTGTTGCATTGGATTTTAGCTCCCTCCTAGAACTGATTTCTATCTGAACTTACCTACAGCAGTGCCTGATAGAACTTCCTGTGATGGTGAAAACCTTCTGTATTCGTGTTGTTTTATACGGTAGCCAGTAGACACAGATGGCTATTAAGAACTTGAAAAGTGGCTCATATGACTAGGAAACAGACTTTTGAATTTAATTTTTATTAATTTAAGTATAAATAACTGTCCATGGCTAGTGGCTACCACGTTGGACAGTGCAGACCTAGTGTACTTATTTCTTTAAGTTTTTACTGTCTCTGCCTCCAAATGTGATCTTCTGCCTGGAAACTGTGTGGTCTGTACCCCTGAGCCTAGGAGAATGTCTACTCATGTAGCTGCTTGGTTTGTATGAATTGTTAATGAGCTTTATTGAGTACCTTCTGTGTCCCTGTCAATCCTTGACAGCTCTGAGGGCCTGGACACCTAGAGAAGGACCAGCTGACCTATAGGGTCACAATGTGTTTTGGCTCCTGGGGGCAAGCGTACAGTCAGGAAAACTGAGGTCTCCCCGCCCCCTAAAAGATCTGAGCCTCCAAATAATTTCTGTTCCTCAAGTCAGAGGCAAACTCATTTCATCTTAAGATTTTCTTCAACTTTAGATAACTGACTCACTGTTGGAAAGAAGCTTCACGAAAATGTGTTTATATACGCTTGTGTTCCCAGAGAATTCACTGTCAAATCCATGGGACAATTTCCCTTGGTGCTTCAATTCTCTCAGGGCCCATGAAGACAGAGGAGGCAGATGATAGGAAATTATCTTTCTCTGGGCTCACAAAGCCTTCTTGAGCTCTGGAATGAGGGCTGTGCTTCCAGGAATCAACTACTGTCTAAAAGAGAGAAACTAAAAAACAAAACAACAGCAACAACAATAATAAAAACTCACCCCTGGTACTCGACAGAGTAGTGTATTATTTCTTCAGGCACAATGACTGGGCTCCATGTCAAGACATGCTTCATATTGACTGACCATACAGAGAGGTTCTGAGGGGCAGGTAGAACAGCCGCTCCATCTGGGACCAAGGGAGACAGACAAGCTGACAAGGTGAATTCACCTCAGGGAACGCCGCAGCTTTGGGTTAGTTTCTAATGAAAAGTCAAACATGCGGAACTAGTCAGCCAGTCAATTCAGTCGCTCAGTCATGTCTGACTCTTTGCGACCCCATGAATCGCAGCACGCCAGGCCTCCCTGTCCATCGCCAACTCCCGGAATTTACCCAAACTCATGTCCATTGAGTCGGTGATGCCATCCAACCATCTCATCCTCTGTCGTCCCCTTCTCCTCCTGCCCTCAATCTTTCCTACCGTCAGGATCTTTTCAAATGAGTCAGCTCTTTGCATCAGGTGGCCAAAGTATTGGAGCTTCAGCTTCAACATCAGTCCTTCCAATGAACACCCAGGACTGATCTCCTTTAGAATGGACTGGTTGGAACTAGAAGCAACTCTAATTTTACCATATTTGTGTGCATGCTAAATATTGCTATCATCATTGTAATTCTCCCTTTGGTGATAGAACAGCATATTAACATTAAACAATAATATGCATGTGTATGGGTGCTTAGTCGTGACCAACTCTTTGTGACCCTTTGGAATATAACCTGCCAGTCTCCTCTGTCCATGAGATTTTCCAGGCAAGAATACTGGAGTGGGTTACCATGCCCTCCTCCATGGGGATCTTCCTGACCCAAGGATCAAACCCACATCTCCTGCATCTCCTGCATTGCAGGCTGAATCTTTACCACTGAGCCATCTGTAAAACCCAGTTTATATTAATAATAATAGCTAATATTATTGACATTAATAATGGTTAGTATTTTTGGTCACCTGATGCAAACGGCCAACTCATTGGAAAAGTCCCTGATGCTGGGAAAGATTGAAGGCAGAAGGAGAAGAGGGCATCAGAAGATGAGATGGCTGGATGGCATCACCAATGCAATGGACGTGAATTTGGGCAAACTTGGGGAGATGGTGAGGGACAGGGAGACCTGGTGTGCTGCAGTCCACGGGGTCACAAAGAGTCGGACATGACTGGGCGACTGAACAACAATATTACTGAGCACTTACCAAGCTCTATCTATGCCGTGTGCTCGGCTATCACATGATTATCTCATTTAATTCTCATGACCATACTGGGATGTTAGGACCATCAGTTTCTCTGTTGTACAAGTGAGAAAACTGAAGCACATTATACCAACACTTGGGTCACATTGGCGGCAATGCAGGCCTGGACTTTGTTTGGACTTTGCCACTGACTTTGTGGCCGCAAACAAATTGCGTAAACCTGAGCTCTCCACCTCTACATGGCAAACCCATGTCAGGTCCTGCCAGCTTCTCATCACCACCCTCTCTTGCTACTGCCATCCTCAGGTATCAAAGCAATTCCTTTGTGTCCCCAGTACGGCCAAATGGGGCACAGCTGCTATTTGGGAAGTGCAGGCTCAGGTCGCCATGGAAGGAGTCCAGTACAGAAGGGCACCAAGCCAGTTCAGACTCTGCCCCAGACAGCCTTCAGACCTCTGAGCCAGACGAGATTCAAGCATCTGCTCACACAGCTGTGTGCCCAGAGTGTGCACACAGTGGGTCTACAGCTTGCACACAGAATCAAAGAGGCCTGTGAAGCTGATCCCTTATAAGAACTTTGCAGCCCCAGTACGGATCTTCTACTGTGGTCTTCCTGACTTTTACACACTCCTCTTTTAATGCCCAACACCTGCCTCCTATTGCTGTTACAGTTGCAGTGATAACATCAACAGCACAGTGTGTATGAGGCTGGGACCCTCGCCTGGGACTTTTCATCTCTGTGTCTGTCTCCAAATTGGCACCTGCTGTTCGTTATCAAGTCCTGTAACCATGAGGGGATGCGGGCTGCTGGGAACATCCCACTTAGTGCCCTTGTGGGCCCTAATGTAGGACCCTGGTGATGCAGCCCAGTCTCACACTTGGCATCCACGGCCTGGCCTGTGAGGAAACACCTGGGGTGCCCTCAAGGGAGGCTTCCTGCCCTCCCCACCCTTATACTTGTCGTCACCCAAGGGAAGAAAGGGAAAAGAGCCAGCTGCAGTAAGATAGCACAGGAGGGCAGGGCGTAGTCCCCTCTGACATGCTTCCTCTGGTGAAGTAGACAAAACATTTCTCTAGTCAGATATGTGGGGATTTTAAAACTATAAACATAAAGCTTGAATTCATAATTCTAAAACTCTCAAAAATGAAATCTCCTGGCCCAGATAATTATACTGGAGAATATGAATGTGAGATGTGAGAGTTGGACCATAAAGAAAGCTGAGCACTGAAGAATTGATGGTTTCGAACTGTGGTGCTGGAGAAGACTCTTGAGAATCCCTTGGACTGCAAGGAGATCCAACCAGTCTATCCTAAAGGAAATCAGTTCTGAATATTCATTGGAAGGACTGATGCTGAAGTACTTTGGCCACCTGATGTGAGGAGCTGACTCAGTGGGAAAGTGTCTGATGCTGGGAAAGATTGAGGACATGAGGAGAAAGGGGGAACAGAAGGTAAGACGGTTGGATGGCATCATCAGCTCAATGGACATGAGTTTGAGCAAACTCTGGGAGATAGTGAAGGACAGGGAAGCCTGGCATGCTGCAATCCATGTGGCCACAGAGTCGGATACTACTTATCAACTGAACAACAACAAAAACTATGAAATAGTTAAAAAGAAAGTAGTACCAATGTTATACAATATCTTCCAGAAATGAAAGAGGAAAAAACTTACTTTATGGGGTCAGTATTAACCTGATACCAAAATCAGACAAAGACTATGTATATTTTTTAAAAAGCAAAAGACTACAGATCAATATATCTCAGGCACTTAGATGCAAAAATCTTCGACAAATACAATCAAAATTTGGTGTTGTATAAGACTATACACCCTGATCAAGTGGGATTTATTCCAGGTATGCAAGGCTGCTTCAGTATTTGAAAATCAATTAATGTAATCCACCACATCAATAAGATAAAGAAGAAAAATCATATAATTGTTTCAACTGACACCAAGAAAGCATTTACAAAATTCAACACCCGTTCATAATTTTAAAACAAAACAAGAAGAAAAAAAGAAACCGTTTCTTTGAATTATGAACAATAGGAATTATCTCAATTTGACAATGGATTTTCCTGGTGGTGCAGTGGATAGAAATCTGCCTGCCAATGCAGGAGACACAGGTTTGAGCCTTGATCCAGGAAGATCCCACGTGCCGTGGAACAACTAAGCCCGTACAGCACAACTACTAAGCCCTAGTTCCAGAGCCTGCCAGCCGCAACTACTGAAATCTGTGCACCTAGAACCTGTGCTCCACAGTAAGAGAAGCCACGGCAGGGAGAAGCACGGCAATGAAGAGAGCAGCCGCTGCTCACTGCACCTAAAGAAAGCCCATGCAAATCAATGAACACCCAGCATAGCCAAAAATAAAAACTAAAAAAAACAACCTACAGCTAACATCCTGTTCAATGGTGAAAGACTGGATGCTTTTTTCCTGTATCAAGAATGAGGCAAGGATGCCCACACTTATCACTTTTATTCAACCTTGTACTAAAAGTTCTAGCAACTGTAATAAGGCAAACAAAGAAAGTAAAAGACATTACAGCTTGGAAAAGAAGTGATAAATCTCCCTCTGTTTCCAGGTGGCATGTTAGAGTATGTAGGAAATCCCACAGAATCTACCAAAAAAGCCTCCGAAAACTAATAGTGAGTTTGACAAGTTCATAGGATACAAGATAAACATTTAAAAAATTAGTTGTATCTCTAAATGCTAGCAATGAACACTTATATGCAGAAACTTAAAATATTATTTGCAATCATTGCCCCTCTCCAAAAGAAAAACTCAGGTGTAAATCTAATGAAACTTACCTAAGATTTCTATGGGGAAAACACCATAATGCCAGTGAAAAAATTTCAAAGAAAATCTAAATAGAAGGAGAGGCATCCTGTGCTCATGGATTGGACAGCTCAACATAGCTAAAATGGTAATTCTTCCCAAATTGATATATACGTTTAACAGGATTACTATCAAAAACCCATCAAAGCTTTTTTGGGGAGATAGGCAAGCTTGTTCTAAAATTCATGAGAAAAGGCAAAGGAACAAGAATAAAACAATTTTGAAAAAGCAAAAGGTAAGAGAACTCAATCTACCCAGTTTTAAAACTTAAAATAATTAAGACTGTATGGTATTCACAAAGAAATAGACACACAGATTGATTAAACAATATAGACATCCCAGAAATAGAGCCACACAAATATGCTCAGCTGATTTTTGGCAAAGGTACAAAAGTAATTCACTGAAGGAAGGAAAGCCTTTTCAACAAACAATATTAAAGCAATTGGATATTTGCAGGCAAACAAAAAACCTCAACCTACATCTCACATGTTTGCAAAAATTAACTCAAAGTAGACTGTGGACTTGATATAAAACATGAAAGCATAAAACTTTTAGGAAATACATAGGAGAAAATCTTCAGGGCCAAAGATTTCTTACACTTGACACTCAAAGCATGATTCATAAAAGAAAAAATTTATAAACAGGCATCATCAAAATTAAAATCTCTTGTACTACAAAGACCCTGTTAAGAGGATGAGAAGACGGGATACAGACTAGGACAAACCATTTGCAAACAATATATCTCACAAAGGATTTATATCTAGAACATATATATAAAGAATACTCAAAACCCAACAGTAAAAAAGCAAGCAATTCAATTAGAAAATGAGTAAAAGACATGAAGAGTCATTTCACCAAAAAAGCACACACAGATGGCAAATAAGCACATGAAAATATGTTCAATATCATTAGCTATTAGGGAAATGCAAATTAAAACTTCCATGAGAGAGTGCCACACAACTATCAGAATAACTAAAAATTCTTAAAGTGACAAAACCAAACCCTGGTGAGGATACAGAGAAAGTGGATCCCTCATACATCACTGGGTGGGAACATAAAGTGGTACCACCACACTGGAAGATAGTTCAGCAGTTTCTTGCAGAACTAAACTTGTAAAT